GTGTGGTCAGTTGTGCTTCCCTTGCCTATCTCTCAGTGCAGGACTCTGTGTTCCAATGTCCCTTTAAACTGGGATGTAGACATAAATCAGGAGCAACATCTGCTTTAGGTGTTTTCAAATAAATTAGTTAATATCACTGGGAATCCAGTGCAAACTATGGCTCATGCTGTAGGAATTGATTTCAGATATCCCAGCATGGTCAGAACTTCCAGTGGTTTATTTAATTACACCCAAAAAGGTCACACTATATCCATGGATCTGCAATATTTGTAGTGTTTTGTTTATTGATCAATAATTTCGTGTCTGATACACTTTAAATGATGTAAAGTCAGCACAGGTTTTTAACCAGGAAATCCTGTCAGATTTATCTTAAAATCTATTAACATGTTTTACAAATAACTAACATTTTGCTGGTGGAAAAGAGCTGCTGCAGAGGTGATTGGATAGGTGAGGAGGTAATAAAACATACTGCTTAGTGTGCTGTAATTGGGTGTCAGTGCAAATGAGATTATTTAGTTTATTTAGTAATTGCAAATTATTTTAGATGCCTTTGACATTTAAACTGTTCATTTATACATGATAACAGTTCTATTCTAATTGTAATATTAGTCTACTGCTGTTAAAAGAGGCCAGTGAGGGACTTATTTGAAAAAAGCATTTGATTTTCTGTAAATGTCTGGGCCTGTCTCCCCTCTCTTTCCTCTTTTCCCCTAACCTATAGTGTGAGTGTGAGGCTGTAAATTAAAAGGGTGCCAGATATTAACTACCTTAATTATTGACACTGTCGTTTCACTGCATCAAGTAAAAAAAAGCGTAGCAATTTTTGTTAATCATGCTCCTACCCTGGCTTCCACATTTTGTTAGTGTTTTAATTTTAGCAAAATGTATGATTGAGTTGATGCTTTTTATCTCAGAGAAAAATATAATTAACATGGTGAACTAGGGCTGCTGTGTATTATGAAAAGTCTGCAATGGCAAGATGACAGATTGTGAGGACAACTTCAGAAGGGGAATAATGTAAATGCAGCTGATTTGTCTGTGGCCATTTCCTTCTGCTGCAGCCATGCTCTAAGGAGTTTACTGCACTTGTGAAGGACACAAATGGAAATCTTGAAATATTTCTGCTTTTCCTAGGTCTTTTCTTTTGAAGAAGTATTGGCAGCAAAAGGAAAATTCAGTTTTAGGTTTCAAATATCCTTCTTTAAAGGCTGTGCTGCATCAGGGCCCTTGATCATCAGTATGCTTATCCTTTGCAAACCAATGAAAGTCATAGCCAGATTCTAATAACTTAAATTCCATAACCTACTTAGACTTCTTTTCTTGACCAGTCTTTTTTTAAACAATTCTCCAGAACAGTACAAACATTAAACTGATTAAACTGCCTTGGGTTCTTTTGTGCTTTAATTCTGTAGATCTGCAAACAATGGATCCTCATTGTAGCAGGGCCATTAAATCCAAATCAGATTTGAAATTCTGTTTCTAATGTTATTCAAGAAACATTCACCTTAACAGATGATTTTTTGTGAGAGAGCTGATGGAATATGTGCTAGATGCCTTGAGTGTGCATGTGCAATACAGTATTTTGTTCTTTGCCAAGGAAAAACATAAGCAAAAGCATTTCATCAGGATAATAGCATTTTACATACAAAGTCTTTTTATCATTAAAAATCTCAGGAACCTACAGTCTAGATCTGTGTTTGCTCATGAAGAGCAAAGAAATGTGCTCGTGGTGCTTGGGGGTGTGGTTTGGAGGTGCACCTGGCAGTGCTGGGTTGATGGCTGGACTCAGTGGTCTGGGAGGTCTTTTCCAGCCTTAATGATTCTCTGACTACTGCTGCTACCTGCTTTTTGTTCCACAAAGATTTGTTTCTATTTTTTCTCCCTTTTTAGACTGCTTTATCCAATCCCCCCTTGCATGCCCTGCCTTTCCTAGCACTCTGCAGTGCTGCATCACCTGAGCTGGGGAGGTGCTGAGCTGAGCTCCACTGAGCCTTGTGCTGTTGGTTGAGATGCAGTGGTGTCAGCAGCACTCTTAGAGCTCCAGCTGGCAGTACATCAGCTTCTTTTGATGCTGGGCCCTAACAAAGAGGGAGAGCACTACTGCTTCTCCAACCCACAGCAATATGTTGTGGTGTTACAACTGTGCAAAAGGCATTTTTCCCCTGTTACAAAGCCTCTTCAGAAAGCATATCAGACATGGAGATGGTAATGGTGTGGAAGATTTGACCTTGTTGCCAACTTTTTATGTCCCAGAGAACAAGGATTGCTCTGAAGTTTCTTCCTTATTTGATAATTTCTCCCTATCCCTAAAAACTTGCAATAGCTCATTTGCACTCACTTGTCCTTCATTTTGTTTTGGCCATTGTACCACAGTGTAGGCAAAGAGAAAATGTAAAATGTAGGTGATCAAGTCCAAGAGCAAACCTCTTGTTCTTACACAAACACAACAGAGGGCTGTGTGCATTTTGAGGCAATAGAAACTACTTTTGGCAGTAGTCACAGTAAAATCCTACAGAAACCTTAGACTCCATAAAATACAAAGTTGGCAGTGCTGTTGTGCACATCTCTGTTAATTTTGCAGAAATTGTAATAATTGACAATGTGGTGGTATGTGTGTCCTGCATTTCTATGACCAGAAAACAAACCCAGGAGAGCTGCTTTTCCTGCCTGTTATACATGTACACGTTTAATTAGTGACATTTTTCTTGTTTAGTTCAAATAGCTGCCACTTAAGTATTGTGTTAAATGCAGGGTCACAAGTATAGACTGTGTTAAACACTAAGAAGATTTTGAAACTGGAACAAGTCAAAGTTCAGGTTTGCTTGATAAATATGAACTTGTTTCTTTGGACCATATGCATATGGATTTAGATTTTAATTATCTTATTGAATTATTTTTACAGTAGTTTTTAGCCCAGATGATTCTTCAGGGTCTAAATGGTCTCTGTCTTGAGATGAAGGACTGTTGATGGAAAGCTCCTTACCTGCAGCTGTCAAGGTGGTTGGAGAGTGAACTATAAATGAGAGGGTATTTTAGCAAAGAGAAAGGATCATTAGGATCATCTCGTGGTGGAAACAGCTCCCTATTCTCATACAGAATGTATTTGACCCTTGCCCATGCACAAATTTCCAGTGAGATCCGTTTATTTCTAGATGGTCACTGTCTCTTAAAATGTAAATTCTGGATGCATGGATTGGAGCAAAGAGATCTGGCCTGCCAAAATGCAGCCACTCAGAGCTCTGATTAACATCAATGTTAAAACACAGTGCCCAGAGTTTTCTTCTGGTGTCCTGACAGAAAGTCAGGTGATCACCCAATAAAATAATTTCAAACCCAGTATTCGAATTTTGCAATGTTTAGCCCACAATTGAAATGGTGATCTTACCCTGAAATTCGACATTGTATTTTAATATAAGGCAGTTCTGTCATCCCTGGTTACAAAATTGTATTTAAAGAGGATGACAGCATGTTTGAACTTAAGGAAACTCAGACAAATTGAAATTAATTCCCATCAGAATTCAACACCTTTGTAATGGAATGATTCCACAGTAGTTGTGGAATTGTGTTTTGTTTTCCAGGAGAGCTTCCTCTGCAAGTGAAAAATCACCTGCAGAAGTTTTCAGCTGATGTCCTTTCAAACTGTATCTGCCTTTGAAAATAATGACACTTAGAGATGCCACTGGAATCCCTTTCTGATTTGACTGTTCTGTGCTGTTTACAAGGTTGTGGAAGCAGGGACATGTGTAGCTTTCTATACCAGCTGACACTGCTGTGCAGAGTTAAGAGTTAAGCCAAGCAAGCATGGAGGCATAAATCAAAAGAGGAAATCTATAGGAATGTCACATTTATATAATTTTTTTTTGTCCTAATGAACATTGGATTGCAAGTTGGTGCAAATATTTTTTTTTATTTTTCTTTTTTTTTAACTTTTATCACCTGTAGTTAGAATTCATGTAAGTATCTATCATGGGTCTTTCAAAAGACAAACCCCAAGAACGTACACCTCTGTGAACAGTTTTTCCACATTTTTGTATGTATTTGTGTTTTGACAACTATGATGTTTGGTTTTTTCCACCCAAAAGGCCAATCTTTTACAATTTTTGTCACTTCTTACCAGCACAAGCCTTCACATTTAGCCATGTGTATATCAACATAAAGATACTTGAGGCTTCTTGTGTTCTATGTACTTTGGAAATATGAATCACTATAAATAAACCAATAACTGCTACATCTTGATAACCTCAATTAGCATAGCAAACCCATTTTATCTATGGCTAAATGTATGCATATATCAAAACTTTAAATGTAGGAATCATAACCATTTGAGTAAAATTGACATAATTGCTACAGTTTTGAAAAAATGTAATGACACTTAATTAAGCCTGAATCTAATGCATTGACTAGAATTTGTATAGAGCAATGTCCTCATGCTACACCTTTGCTTTGTGTCTTTGTGTCTAGCTTAAGCAAGAGTTGGAAGGTTTGAACTCATGTTTTTCAAAATTCTTTTCCTTTTCCCATTAACTGCATTGTCTAATCTTGAAAAAACTGGCTTTATATTCCCAGTCTTCAGGCCATAACAGGTTACCTCATTTCAAAAACATAAATCATCACTGATGAGAGTCTTCTCTTATCATGTAAAAGTACTCAAGAAGTGTTTGTGTAATGGAAACTTCTAGGCAAAGATAACTTTTGGAAATACTGCTTGATCCTAAAGCTTAATTTAAAAATATTTTAATATGAGTGAGCATGAAGGTGACCAAAGAAGTGTTCATGAGGAAAAGAGATTGATGGAGTGGAGACTGAGGAGGAATAAGAACACAGTAACCTTTTACATGTTTTTCTCTGCAGTTGATTTGTAGAATATTATACTCACTTGCAAATACTTTATTACTCTGTATAGTAAGAGGATCTGCAAAACTCAGAGCCTGATGTATTTTGTTGTTAAAATCTCAGCCAATCATTTTTTAAAGCCCTTTGATATTTTCCCTGTGTCTCAGGTGCCCAGTCCGAGCCCCCATCGTGCAGTGCCAGTTCCATCACTTGCCCCTCTGCCTGCACCTGCAGCAACAATGTCGTGGATTGTCGGGGAAGGGGCTTAACAGAGATCCCAGCCAACCTCCCAGAAGACATTTGGGAAATGTAAGTGCACAAATCTTTTCCGTGTCTCTCCATTTTTACTCCATTTCACAGCCTCCTATGTGGAAGAAAGGTGCATGTTTTAAAAAGTGTTCTAAGCAGTTGTCAGGTATTTTGTAGTTTTCCTCTTTAATTTGTTCTTTTGATCTAGGGGCTCAAACCATTTTTAAATGTAAATTAAGATAGTTTGGTACTGTCCTGCCTGAAAACAAGATAAAGTTCTTGGGGCCTTAAGTTCAGATTGTGTTTACATTTCACAAACCCAGAACTGCAGTTCTATAGTCAGTAAATGAAAATAAACACTCTTTTCATATTTCTAGACTGTGATTTCCCCATGAGATGGAGGGACTTCTTTGTAGCTTGGCAGGATGCATTTATAATGAACTAGAACATCAGAGCACATTGTCCCTGCTGATTTTACCTTCTATATCTTGTCTTCCACATTGTTATTTCCAGTTCTTTAACAGTTTTGTGACTCGTGTGTGGAATCAGATGCTGGTTTTACAGACTTGTTTACCTTTACTACCTTTAGGAAATGGAACCATCTATTTCTGTGTCCATGACTTGATACTACTGTGGTCCTGAAATGCTGTGGTTAGTCCACAGGGAATGCAGATCAATTCTTTTCCTATTTAGGTTCTTGTCATACTGAATTTCTGACATCTGGCCAGCTTTTGCAGTCTACACAGTATAAATTCAAATATTTGTATGGTCACTGGACATTCCAGCTTCTTGTTGCTATAGAAATACTGGTACACAGCAAAATTAACCATAAATCCATAAAGCATAATTTCATAAGATCGTGGAATGTTCTGGGTTGGAAGCAATCCTAAAGAGCGTCTACCATGGGCAGGGGCATCTTCCACTATCCCAAGTTGCTCCAAATTCCATCCAACCTGGCCTTGGACACTTCCAGGGATGGGGCAGCCACAGCTGCTCTGGGCAGCCTGTGCCAGGGCCTTCCCATCTTCACAGGGAGGAATTTTTTTCCAATATCCCATTTAACCTTGCCCTCTGGCAGTTTTAAGCCATTCCCCCTTGTCCTGTCCCTCCAGGCCCTTGTCCAAAATCTCTCTCCAGCTCTCCTGGAGCCTCTTTAGGCACTGGAAGGGGCTTTAAGGTTTTCCCAGATCCTTCTCTTCTCCAGGCTGAGCACCCCCAGCTCTCTCGGCCCTTCTCAGTAGCAGAGGGGCTCCAGCCCTTTCATTGTCTGTGTGGAACGCTGAATTCAAATAATTCTTGTCTTTCCCCCAACTCAGTATTTTCTTGTAAGCCAAATTGCTCTGGTAAGAACCCTTGACTTACAAACTGTTCTACAGAAAGGAAACACACAGCTGCTGTTCTAACACAGTTATTAAAGGTGACCTACATTTCACTCTATTTCGGTATTAATTAACAATCTTCTATTCAGCCTTCCTACCTTTCTTCATTAGCATGGGTAGGCAGAACCTTCTCTGACAAAGCTGCCAACAAGTCCTAAAACTGTTTTTGTTGATAAAAACCCATCACAAACCAGGAAACTGACTTGTCATGGGGCATAAAACAAGCATTATATGATGCTAATTTTCCCTCTGCCACAAATGACTTAGAAGTCCGTTGTGTTACTCTATTACTCCTCGAGGTGAAGGACTTCATTGCAAGAATGTTTGCTATTAAGTTAGCGATTTTGGAAAGCTAGAAATCTGTATCCCAGACTTGCTTTTTCATAATTTCATAAAATAGGTAGCAAGAATGTAGGGAATGCAATTTGTTTTTTTATAAAGCTTCTTGTTCAGTTGGGAGCTGACAGCAGCAGCCAAATTGACTGAGGAAAAATGAGTTAGGAGAAATTGAAGCTGAGGAATACAGACTGTGTGCTGAGTTTTACAAAAGATTCTCTGCTTACAAAGTGGTTCTGTTTTGCTTTTCAGAGGAGAAATGAACAGGTTTTGTCATAGAGAAGCACATGAGAATAAGCTCAGAAAAGTTTTGCATGACTACTTGGGTGAAACCAAAAGTCATTAAGCACCTGGAGGCATTTACTGAAAAGAAATACCAAAATGCACATGGTGTGGTGGTTTGCTGGTATATGAGCGAAATAGTCATTCCACTACACTGGGTCAGCATCTGCAATAAAAGGAGAGGTGCAGTTATTTAGAAAGGGTGAGAGAAAATGCATGCAAGGTAAATAGGGAACATGGTGTGAGTGCAGAGTGGGCTTGATGAGGTGTAGGGAGGGATGACCAACAACCTGAGAGGAGACAAAGTCTCCAAAGAATGTTTTTCTGCTCGGACTTGATCCCAACCCTCAAACTGAATGACAGCTCAGCCCACAGAGCCAGCAAAGCCAGGGGACAGCAGAGACCTGTAACCAGCTGTGAGAGCCTGGGAGGGTGTTGTGACAAACACGTGTAGCAGCTTTCCCTCAGCACTTTGTGGTTTGGGCTGCTCTTGGCTCAGACAGGGGCTGGGTAGATCCTTTCTCAGTCATTGCTGATTCCCTGGCATAAGTGAGCCACAGGACAGCTTCCCTGCCCGTGTAGGTGTGGGCACTGGGGCTGAGGGCACTGCCAGCCCTGGCTGTCGTGTTTCAAACAATATTTTCTTCAATGTACTGCCTGCCACATTTGTTTGATGCCTCCCAGTCGTGGACAGGTATCAGTAACTCCTTATTAATCTTTTCCCACCTCACAACACTCTTCCTCTGCTCCTTCTTGAGAATGAAGTTTTCATGCTGTTTGTCTGCCTCAGACAGATGCACTCATTTTTTGTCACTGCAAGCAAGGCCATGTTTTAGGATGTGAGTTCTGGGCAGCTCTTGTCTGAGAATTTTGTACACCTTAAAACAGTAGTTCAGGAACTACCACTTGTGCCTTGGTGTTTGGTAACAGTGCAAGACCTTCCTGAGTGGAAGCAGGGCACAGCCCCCCCTCCTGCTGCCAGAGGGTGCTCATGCCTGGGGGCAGATGCTGGAGCAGCAACCACTGGCACTGGGTGCTGCTTCTCTGAAGGATCTCCAGATTGCTTAAAAGAAGGAATTAATTATTTGCTAAAGCTAGAGGCTGGATTGTGGTTGGGACAGATGCTTAAGAGAATGTAAACAAGCTCAGCCCAATACAGAAACTGATGGGAAAAGAAGGGTGAAATCAAATGAGGAAACAATCAAACACATGAAGAGAAGAACTGGGAACAAAGGAAATCGAGACAGGGTGAGCAAAGTGCTGTGAGTCTGAGAAAGTTTTTGGTGATAAGGCCTGAGATTGGTGGCAGGGGACTGTGGGGATGTGACAGGAGGGCTGGGACACTGGGGCAAGGCAGGCTATGGGGACAGGACAGAGGGACACAGGCAAAGGTAGAACCAAAGAGTCTGTTCCCATCAGAAAGAACATTGACCTTGGAGAGCCTTCCTGCCTCCTCAACATGTACTTGGGAAACCCAGCAACAATTTATGTGTCTGTCCTTGTGCATTAGGGACTATCTAGGCACAGATTAACTATTAAACCACACAGGGAGCTCCTGTTTGCACTGCTGCTATTCCAGTTAGAGAGCACTACAGGGATCTGGGACTCATACTCTGTTACACTTGTGGTGAAATTAGTAATTTCAGCTTCTGGGTTTGAGGCCACTAAATTAAATGCATTATTTTTTTCAAGTAAAAAGAAATAAATTAGAAAGTACTAAAAAATGCCAAAGTTAATGTTTGTAGCTGCAGTTGTCATTTGAAGCTTTTGTGTATATTTGTGGTGATATTCACTTTAATAATAGCACAGTCTCGTGCTGCTGTTGAAAGCTTGGACTCATTTCTTATTGTCTAGGGATGCATCAGGGATGTGTAGGGAGGGAAACTGTACATAGATAGGGTCTGTTCACTTGTTGCAGAAACAGGAAAATTGTAAAATGGGGACTGTGGGGAAGACAGTCTCATGAATGCTGTTTGGAGAATTGGGTTGTGTCTCTTCTTGCCTGTGATTTTATTAATTGATTCTGGGCAAGTGACTTTCACAAACTTTCCTTGGGTGGTCACTGGTGATGCAGTCTTGGGCTCTGGCTGACTCAGCTGAGACATTCAGAAGTGTTGAGGACTCACAGGTGCAGCAAAAGTCAACAGACACTGTGCTTAGAACACTCTGTGCTGTGCAACACTAACTACTCTGAAAAGCCAAGTCTCAGTCAACTGCAGACTTACAAATCAAACTCCAGAATGTAAAGTGTATCCTTAAATCCTGAAACAGAGCTGAGATCTGTTCACATCAAGTTTGCTTCACCACTGTTACTTAACCTGTACCATACCCTGTATCTGGTGAGGTTGACAGAAATAGATTTGAATGAGCCAGGTAAAGCTGGGTAGGATGTACCTGAATGAGAAATGAGGCCCATTTCTTTAAATGCTGATGCAATTGCTCCAGACAGTAAAGAGGCTGCCAGTCCCTGAAGGAAGAGTGCAGATTAGGCACCCATGTTTGGTGAGATAATAACCACAGCTTTGTGCATGGCCAGCTGAGCAGAGCAAACTGGGATGGCAGCCCTTCCACCAGCATCTAGGCTTGGCCTAAGGTTAGTTTTAGTCACTTGTTCTACACAGGTTTAGTATTTTCACTTCTGATAGCTAAATTGGTGGCTGATGTTTTTGTAGGTATGGGTAGTACATAATTGCTATTAGAATAGTGCAGAATTATTACTCTTAGGAAAAATTCTAGAGTTCAAGCACAGGAAAAATGTAATGTTGGTTTTCTCCTGGTTCTGACAAAATGAACACAAACCTAATTTTCTGCAAGATGATCACTTTGTAATGTAATGTTCTACTTGTTCTACCTTTAATGAATGGTTTCCTGACAAATTTAATGTCATGAGGGTACCACTGCACTGGGCAGTGTTGCAGACCTGTAGGCAGACAAGTGTTCTGTGTCTGTTGCTTCAGGAATTGTCTCAGGAAGAAATTACCTTTTCTGTTCTTCAGTACCTGCAGGAATGTGCATTTCAGGCCAGCTGTGAATCTTTAGGAAGCTTTTGTGATTTGCAGATGG